ATGGTTTGATTCATCAGCATGAGGTGGCTTGATTCACATGTCAAGTTCAATTAACTCTTTTGATTCCCAGAGAAGCAGAATTACAGTAAGCAGAAACTGAAGGGACACAAAAATCTACAAGAAAGGAAAGTTAATGTGAATTAGACAAACATAAAAAAAAGGGTGTTCTCCCTTGAGACCTCTGAACCTATTATATTTTAATACATATTAATGTAAACAAAGTAAGTATTTTCAAGAGGGATTAACAAATCAGCTTAAATATGGTATTTATTTTGTTATATAGTAAAAAAATTCTGTCATACAGCAACACTCTAGGGAGGAAAAATATGCATTCAATTATTACAGGAGTAGAAAGAAAAATACTTAATCTGTTCACATCTGAATTCACCAAATAGATACTATTTTTTCCCTTTTCTATTTAAACAGTTTTCTTCTATGTAAATAGCTGCAGATTTGTTTCACTTTTAACACATGGTTTGCAATACCTGTTTATATGATCAATACAATACTGTCTTTTAATTTTTCATATACATTGAGACCAAATATGTCTTATATTTATCATTTACAATAAGCAAAATCTTTTAAACACTTTTTTTCCTGAAAATGCAGTATCAACATATTATTTAATTACTACAAGCATATACCTTTTTTGTGGTATAGCAAAACTATGCATTTTCATCCAATCATGTATGCAGCTTTCCCAGCTTTATCCTAGCACAGAACATATCTCTATATGTATAGTTTGCCATATTTCTTTCCATCACTGAGTTTCCTTTGAACACTGTCATACTTGCTGGGCAATTAATTCTTGAAAACACAGAACCTCAATGGCCCTCCTCAGTCACCAAGTCCAGCCTCTGTTATCACAGGCAACTGAATAAAATAATCTTTTTCATTAAGCACTTAAAATTTGCCTTGCAAAAATTATTAACTATAACAGTACATTGGGGTATGTCCGCTCTGGTTATTCTGTAGTTTGTGTAGTTTTGAGTGGAATTGCATGATGAAAAGTGTTAGCTGTACTTACCCTGCTAGTAGTTAAGAAACTACTACATAATGAAAGAATTGCAGGGTCAGTCCCATGCCCCTAAATAGGCAAGACGTGCTTTGAAATTCTCACTATACATTGCTGCATCCAACAAATTAATTTGCCACAAGCCTGATTTAAAATAAACCTCTCCTAGACAAAACCTGTATGAAGTTGAGTGCTCTCTTCCTGTCCCCTACCTCCCCATCCTGTTTTGGACCGTCCTAGGCCATATGTTTTCCTGGCTTGTGCAGTAAATTTGAACCCTTCTGCAGGCTGTAAGGGCTATTCCAACACGATGTCCACAATTATAAAAAGTCTGGAAGATAAACTGATGCTGATGAATGAGTAAAGCATCACGTGCACCAGATTCTGCCACTCTTACCTACAGTAGTATACAAATCCAAACATAACCCCACAAAAGGTTATGGAACTGGTAAAAATGTAAAATGTGAGTAAAGGGGAATCACTGCATAACAAGAAAAGGATTCATTGACAGCAACATGGACTTAAGTATCCATTTGCTTAAACCGATTATGAAGGAGGCTGATCACCTCACTGATAATTATTCCCGAGTAGTAACAGGGGCTTAAATTGGATGATGCTCAAGTCAGAACTCCATCCTAGCTCCAAATGTTTACTAACCTATAAATAATCATAGAATCATAGAACAGTCTGGGTTGGAAGGGACCTTTAAAGACCATCTAGTCCAAGCCCCTTGAATAAGCAGAGATCTCTTCAAATAGACCAGGTTGCTCAGATTTTGAATTTGAATGTTCCCAGGGACAAGGCATCCACCATCTCTCTGGGCAGTCTGTTTCAGTGTTTCAACACAGTCGTCATAAAAAGATTCTTCCTTATATCTAATCTGAATCTACCCTCTTTGAGTTTAAAGCCAGTACCTCTTGTCCTATCGCAACAAGCCCTGCTATAAAAATTCTGTCCTCATCTTTCTTATAAGCCCCCTTTAGTAAGTGAAAGGCTGCAATAAGGTGTCCCTGGAGACTTCTTTTCTCCAGGCTGAGCAATCCCAACTCCCTAATGACTGCACGTATAGGATATCACAAAAGCTTGTCTGATTTCACTGACATCAGTCTTGAGTCTTCGCTCAGGTAGATTACACAGCCCTCCGAAAACACTGGTTTACGAGATGCATACCAGAGAGTATTTTACAGTATGTTTTAGAAATGCTGTCCAGATTAAAAAAAAAATGAAACAGAAGTAGAGCAGGCTTGCTGTCTTGTTTCCAGTCCTTTTGTGTGTACTTATATTATTGTAGATATATATGCCCTGAATTCTACAGCTGAAATGTTCTGCTAGTCATAACTCAAACAGATGCTGGAAAACTAGAAACAATTTTTAAAAGTGACTCAAAGCCCAAAAAGCACAGTAGCAACAGCTAAACAAGATTAGCTAAGAGTATGTTCAGATATTGACTCAGATGTCCTAGTAGAGATTTCTGACAGTAACTGATTTCAGCAGTGAAAAGCATCACAGAGGATTGTGTTTGGAAACCAGGCTGAAACCAAGGCACACACCAGTCACAAAGAAGAAAAAAATTACCAAAAGTATGTCACAAAGCACCTATCACTCCAGAGCAGGTATCTTTCTAAGCAGTATGCTATAGTTTAAATAGAATATAGAAGCTTGATATAAAAATTGGATGAGCAAGACTCCTTGGTCTTATTTTGAAGGTGAAGATGATCAAATTAGTTAACTTTAGTAGGATCAGAATTTAGTAAAGACAAGTTTTCTTGATTATATGGGCCAAACCTATATATTCAAGAAAACTGAAAATTAATCATTTATATTACACCTAAATCTAGAATAAGATCTCTTTTATGTATATAAAATATTTTTATTTTTGTAGATTGTTAACACATGAAACATTGAGTATAAACTTCATATTGGTCCAACATGTGTTATAGCATGAGAAATTTACATATTCTTGTTATTTTATCAGAATGAGGGGTGGGGGGTTATTTTTAAATGGCCTGTTAAAACACAGTGTAAGGTTTTCAGAGCAACTCGGCCAACTAAAGCAGAGAGGGATTGTGAGGCACAGCCCAAGTGACAACACCCATGAGAGATGACGCACTTCTTACCCACCTCAGGCACCATTGACAAATAGGACAAGATAGCACAATCACAGCACTGAAGTTACATGAGAATACCTGTCCTGAGTCATACCAAGGCCAGGTAGCCTGCTATCCTGTCCCTTAACCATGAAAGTATAGGAAGAGGGCACACACAGCTGTACATCCTTACTGCACACTGCCAGGCAATGGCACCGTGTTATCATCTTAACAGGTCTTTAAAAGCCATCAATGAACTCTCTGTTTCCATTTTTTTTAATTCTGTTTTGACCAGGACAAAGTAGCTCTGTGACTCAGGGACTTTATGCTCTAAGTAGTAGATAGAGAATACAGTGCATGGAAGGGTTATGAGAATGATTTGGAGATTATCCCATTGCACGCTGTGGTATTTATGTTTGTCAGATTTTCCTCTCTGAGAAAGTAATATAAAGCTAAAAGCAAAACTTGTACAATGTTATCTGCTCTACACTGAAGGTCCTTCAAACAGGAAGTGTTTCATATCACTTCTAATAGCTTTCTTATACATATTGCATGATTATCTTTCAGCATAAGATTGTATCATCATTTTACGTCCTCCATCAACAACTCAGTTCTAAACTCATATGTATACCCACATATGAGAAAAACACTCAGTGGTCATCCTACCAAACAGGCCAGCAATTTTAAAATATTAAAAATACGATCTACTTCCAGATATATCAAGAGGCAATCCATTCTCATTAAATAGTAATGGTTCTTATTTTTTGATTACTGGCTGGCATCAGGGATAGCAGCAGGAAGGTGAGTTAGCAAAGACATTCAGACACTTCTCTCCAAAGGCACAGTGACCTCAAGGGTCGAAACCAACTCTCTCCTACTAAGTATGAGCTGGGGCTCCCTTACACCATTAAAACACTACAGAACTAGGGAGAGAATATCTTTTCAATCAGGAATTTCATAGGCACAGAAAAGTGACTGGAAGCTAAACAAGAATGTTTCAGTTAAAAATTGTATTTATTGCTGCAGCTGTTTTAGTCTCTTCCTACAAATGTAGCTAAAAAGAATATTGTACAACAAACTCCAGTTGTTTGGCAGTTGATTGATTATTGTACATGTCACGAAGGGCACCAGCACTGCAGAAGCCTAAGTCCTATAGCATCACATTCTATCAGAAACACTACACAATCGTTTCCCTAAGCTATAGTTGCACCAGTTACAACTGTTCTATTTTTGTAAAGCCAGCAATGACATTTATGTTTGTTTTCACATAATACCTCTTTAGGACAGTCAGAGAGAAACCAATCACTCACAGGATAGAATTTGTTGTTTTCTTTTTTTGGTTTCTTTAAGAATCTTGTTGTGCATTTCGAAATCTTTCACTTCTTTAAGAAACAAACCCAATATGATTGGTCCTTGGTTTTCTGCATTATTCGTGTTAATTGAAACAATGTTCATGTGGCATAAATATGAATGTTATAAGCAAGTTGCTATATTTTGAAGACAACTTGTTTTCATTGACTATTCTGACTATACTTCATTATGGCAAAAATTTTGAGAAAATATAATTACAAATACCGTGGGCTTGCTTTTTTAAAAAAATCCCAAACAACACAACACAGAGGCCACCACAATTGCAATAAAACCTCAACCTGTTATGATTTGTTTTCCTCCAAAAGTAAGAAGATGAAGATCAACAGAAGAATCAACAGAAAGTAAACATATTGCACAGACAGTAAAAATGCAGAAGCCAACCTGCTGGCTTGAGAGGGAGAAAATTCAAGCTACTCCAATAAACGTAAATGGCACTTGTCAGTCAAATCTGGCTTGACTGGGTCTTGATCTGCTTCTGCTCTTCTGCTTTGCCACTTTGCATTTTCTTTCATCACTTTGAGGAATGGCTGCAGCAGAATGTTCCTTCCTAGGGCGGTGAGAGGAAGGAGCCGCAGTTTGTAACCCCTGAGGGCTTGCGGCGTGGGGAGCCTCGCTGTAGGTGGTGGGGAGAGACCTGCACTGGAGGGGTCTCTGGCAGTGCAACATGATAGAAGTTTGGTAACCGAATGTCATATCTAAAGCCTTGCCCCACGTGCACCCTGTCATTCAAGGCATACAGTTTTTCAGCAATGTCGCTCCCAATTAAAATTGAGAACAGGCGGGAGATGAAACGGTGTTTAGCAAACAGCAGATAGAGCTTCTTTCTCCTCCAGGCCACGTACCGACAATCTGTCTCTGCTGTAAGTGTTACCTATAGAAGAGAAAATTAAAGAGCTAGGTGACAAGGCAGTGATGTTGCCACTGCTCTCCTTGCTCAGAAGGCACCCCCCTATCTCAGCAGAACCTGCCTACTGCAATTAGAGCCTTTTAATCCAGGCAGAGAGCTCTGGAAGGTCTACTGTAGGCAAAAGACAAGCGAGAAGGGTGACTGGGGATGGACTGAATGATCACATCTGGTTGGCTTTGGTGACAGTATGACTGTGCCCACCTTGTAAGGATGCCCTGCCTCAGCCCTGCACTCCCTGCTCCACTCTTGGCAGCCTCAGCTGGAAAGGCAGGTCTAAAGAAAGCTCTCGACAAATGCCATTTGCCCTTGTGACAGGAGACATCAGATCCCACACAGGCAGGAGACAGCATGTCGGTCAAGTAACAGCAGTGGGAGGGCTCACAGATTAGAGGGGGCAGCCCCGACCGACACAATGTCCTGTGCTGTAACCTGTGCCAAGCTGTGTCACAGGCACGTCTCTCCCTGGCTCATCTCCCATTGAGAAGCCTCTTCAGCACCAGTTTCTATCCGCCTCATGCAAATCTGGCTTCTCAGGGCTGGATATTGGCACAGCCAAAGAATGCAAACAGGGCCTACCTCCTGGATTAGCTTTAAGAAAAACCCTATCTGTTGTAACAAGATACAAACAGCTAAACCAGTCCAACAGCTAAAGAGGACTTTGCTCCCAAAATTAATAGAATGCCACTTATTTTTATAGCATCCCAAAACCCCACAACTGAATAAATTTATTTCTAAACCAAATAGTACTTGAACAGTTTTTTGTAGTACTAAAAGAAACCCATTAAACAAAAACCCTCATCTTTTACCTGGAAAATTCCCTCTTCTGTGGGCCTCAGTGAATCCCATTCAGGAGAATCCAGAAATTGGAGAGGAAAAATATAATGCAGAAACTCCCCATCAACTGTTACTCTGATCCTACCAAGATAAGACATGTTAATTTGTTAGCACTACCTGTACACCAGCAAGGACTGTAACAAAAATGTGCTGTGTGAGGAATTTAAATATAGCTTTGAGAGCACAAAAAAGCAATCAATGGCCAACAGTATCCTAATTATATTTTTAAACCCAACTTGATCAGGCCAATTGAAAGAGAACACAAGACAATCACGCAACTGAAATGGAAATCTTTGCAGGCTTTATTCAAGTCATATTATTCTCTCTGTGGCAGTGCAGTGCAGTCTGTGCAGTGATATGCTAGCTTCGTCATTAAAAGGCCAGTGTGAACTGGAGCAGTGAAAGACCAATGCCTGTAACACCATTTGCCTCGTTCCCCTGAAAACCATGGGATTTACTTCTAGGTTTGGCAAATAGGCACTTTAGAGGGAACAAAGTGGCAAAAGCAGGGAGTGGGAAGCAGGAGTTCCCCACGGCATGTAGTAGAGAGGGCTCTCTCCATGTTTAACAGGAATTACATGGCCACAGGACTGTGTCTGGAGCCAGGAGAACAGCCTGGAGGTATGGGATCTCTATGTGAATGTTGCGGCCTCCTGCAGATGCCACGAAAAGAAAAATTTCCTTTCTACTTTTAAAATAATATTTAAGTTTGAAGGCACACAAGAAGCCCTGTACCAGGTGAAGAAGGGCAGTAGGAACTTCCTGTTAGTTGATTACTATCTGGCTGGGCATGTAGAAGGGTGGATACTTCTCCTATAGTACACCTATGACCAAAAGCAATCTCCATGAGGTACTCCCAACAAAGCTCTGAACCAGGGTGTCATTAAGGACAATTGCCTACAATCCATATTGTCCACTGCAAGTAGTCCTAAATCAGCTGAATGTCAAGCTGCCTACAAATTCCATCTGTCCATGCAGCAGGCTATCAAAATTCACCCACAAAGTGTCCCATCAAAGACAGTCCATGGACATCATCCTGGGTATCCCACCTAGTCTTGTGGCAGCCTAGTATTGCATACTGCTTTTCATACAGTACGAAAGCTAGTATTTCCCTTCAGTAAAGTATCGGCAAAGTTGCCAGAAGGTTTCCCTATAATTAGGGAATACAAGCAGGTCGATTTATTGCCTCAGGGTCTAACAAAGGGCCACAGTACACAGTAACTGTAGATACAGTTCTGCAAATCTTGACAGGGCTCAACTATGTCCCCTTGTAATGAAAAGGTGCTTTTAAGCCTTTTGCTCTCCCTTACTCCTTTTCTTCTCCCACCCCCCTGAAAGCAACTAAATACAATCTGTATCAATGTCAAGATTACACAGAGTTTATCTCAGTATATTGAGTTTCATAACTAACTTTTAGTCCCATTTCAGATTATATAAGTAAAGAAAAATAAGACAGATGCTGTTCTCATCAGCTAGGCAGTAGATAGATAGCAAACCACAGCCTGAAAACTGAAGTATATATTTGTTCCCTTTATCTGCCTAACCTGTTAAGTGCTATGATATAGTGGCTGGAAAAGAATGACTTCAAATCTTTTTCTTTATGCTATTACAGATTTTGTGCTTAGTGTTTTTATGATAGTGCTATCCTAGACAAGTGTATTTAGCCTATTAATATTTATATGATTTGCATTAATATTTAATCTATTGTATTGGAAAATAAACAAACAATACACAAATCAGGCCTTTTTTTTTTTTTGCTCTCATTTTCAAGGAGTTAAAAACAAAGGTATTTGCAGCATACCTGAACAAACTAATACCAACCTGCCTGATACAAGCAAGGACAGTTTATCAATAGGTGTTTTGCCCTGCATGGCGTAACAGTGTTCCTTCTCCAGGGTAATCACTTCTGCATCACAGCACAAGACGATCTTCCTGTACACAGTCAAGGAAATTCCCAGAGGCTGGAACAGAGCACTGTAGAGTTCCTGGAATTCTCTGTCAAAGGCAACACTCCGAACTTGGTAGGTAACATAAATGAACTGGACGAAGCATATAGCAAACAGTATAAAATTCCAGGAGAATATATCAGCAGCACAGATATCCAGCCAAGCCCAAACAGAAGAGCAGAGAAAGCCCAATCCAAGCAGGCTGAAGACATAGAGAAGCCCAAAGAATCCACTTCCACCCATGAAGCCCACAACAAAGAGAATACTGGCTAGGTGGTAGATAGATCCCTCTGCCTCTTGCTTCCAGGTGGTACACGTAGGATGTGCATATATCAAACTTTCCCAAAAACTTGCATTTTCTCCCATGGCTGGAATAATTTGTTGATTCAGCTAAATCTTGGAAATTTTTATTTATGAGATGCAACTAGTGAACTCCTTTGCTTTTCCATTCTTGCGAACTCTGTTCCGTGATCATATAACATCAGGGTCTCTTTTGGTAGTGAGGTTGCGCTTAGGATATCCAGCAACTAGGCAGTTAATGTTCTCCATGCTATTTCTCATCAGTTCATGCATTGTTTTGACTTTGGTCATGTCATCTGTAGCTTCATCTGATCTGGACAAGTGAAGAAAAGACTAATTACTTATAAAATTATTTTCATCAGCTAGCCTCTATCAAAGTTTTTACTGTCTAAAACCACAGACTACATTACAGTCTTCCAATTCCCCTTGCAGCTCTGTGATTTCAGGATCAAACCTTAATATTCATTCAACTGAAGATCATATTCCTGTATCTGTGAACCCTGTAACAACCATTGAAATGAACCCATGTAAACCTGTACTTGTATTCACAACATTCTGTGACAAGCCTTTGCACAGCCCCACTGTTGAGAAGGTAGTTGCATTTGTTGGTCCTGAAACTGCCCCCTGAGAGCCTTATTTAACATTCTACCAAGCTCTTTAACAAGAAGAGACAGTGAACTCTTTTTCCTTGTTCACCTCCTCCATCTCGCTCTGGATTTCAGTCCAACCACTCTCACTAATGTGTTGAGCAAGGCTGCTCTCTGTTCCTGGAGACAACAGACTACATCCCCAAACACTACAGTATGGGAAACCCAAGTATCACAGGGGATGGTCTTTTCTACTCCAAGGTTTTTGCCTGAAAAACCTGTCATATATAAGAAAGACTATAAAGCTTAAAAGCATCTCTATACAGATCATGTTATTAGAGGTAATTTAGTAAGTAGTCCTGCAAAATATTACTCAAAGGACATTTACAAAGCAATTTTATAACATTCAAAGTTTTACCTCATATAATTTCATGCCATGGACCACATAATTTTTTTTGTTCAACAAGTTATTTGTTTTCATATGATAATGATTATATTTCATATATTTCATATAATAATTGCTAAGAATTTGAAAAGGAAAACACACAACCAATAAACATGAAAAAAAACCAAAATAAGTTTAAAAAAAATCAAAACCAGCTTTCTATGTCTGTCTTTTAAAATAAAAATACATGCTTCAATGTGAGATTACACATGGTAGAAACTGCAAATCCAGTATCTCTCAGTGGTGTCATCAAGATTGAAAACCTCCAAAGTCTTTAAGTGTCTGGTTCTTTTCCCGGTAAAAGAGCAGGGAAGCTAAGAAATATCTTGCCATCTACATTATTACATTCTCAAGAATATCAAAGCTCAGGGTTTTTTTTTTTATTTTTTCCCCAAGAGCCACATTACAGGCCTGTATCTCTTCTGTAGAGGAATTGGCTGAAGACCTCTGGACTCTAATTGAGGAAGTAAAAAGTGACCACAAAAAACTCAGAGAGGAGTTTAGGGAAAGCATTGTCCATGTCATGCCAGTGCAAACTGGAGATATTTAGACAGGCTATAGAGAGAGGATACACCACATGGGGCAACCTGTGGTTCTTTTTACACAAATATGGGGAAGACATGAGGAGATGGGATGGAAAACTCACCTCTGCTTTATCAGCATGGGTATAGGAGTTAAAGGGAAAAATGACCATCAGAGGCACTTTCTAAAGGATGGATGTAGCTCCAGTCTCCTGTAGGCAAGCCCCTAGAGAGAATCAGGTCCTCTGGAAGGGACCTCCTATTTGTATTCAAGGGAGAAAGCTGTGACTACCAAGACCAGCATTAGAGAGGGCCTGCCTCTAGCCAGGTAGAGGCATGGGATAACCACGTCTATTGGATGGCCTGGCACATCAGACCCACAAGAATACAAAGCTTTGGTTGATACTGGTGCACTATGAACTCTAATGCATTTTTCCCTCACTGGGTCCTCCTTGCATTATCTTTTATTTCTCTCTGAATTTGGGGAAGGGAATATTTAAAAGAAAGGAAGAGGGTTCATCTCATTAGAGATCTCACCTCCTGGAATATATATTGTCATTAAACCAAGACAGTACCTCTTCTTAAACAAGAAATTATTCTAATATTTGTGAGCTAAAAAATGGTGGTAATTTTTATTATCAGGTATTATGTAGAACAGAGACAATAATAGGTATGGACCTAAGGACAATAAAATTTCTGATTTTGATGGGTATTTAGTGCTAGATAAGGCCTCTCACATTTTTCTTTATAGTTCCTACAAGTCCAAAATTTAAATTCTTGAGGGCTTCAGAACAGTCACTCTAATTAAGCCATTCATCTACATTGAAGCAAGGTTGGGGGGGGAGAAAAATCCTCCAAATCAAAAAAACAAAGAGCTGTGATAGCAACTGAGTTATCCTCCATAGCAGCACAACACTGCCAAGTTTGTAAGTCCTGGCTGTGGTGAATAGTTATTGCTACAAGTTCATTTGATGGTGATGATCGAATGAGCAGGAAACTGCATTTAAAGCAGGTTATCTGAATTATAAACCTAAAGAACTGTATCTTCCCAAGTACACATTGAGTACTTTCTACTCTGTCCCCTGCCTATGGAGAAGAAGGAGCACCACACACAGCACAGTGCCTGCCATATTCAGAATAACATTGACACATTGACATCTGTAGGCTGCCAAAATCAGAGGTTCATTCAAGATGAGTCCTCACAGCTTGGGAAGGAGCCCTGCCAACAAAGGCTGAATTACTGAGATGCTTCAGAGTGTTTTGCCCCACCACACATCCCACCTTCTTCATTAAGAGCAGATGAAGTGATGCAAAAAATCAGCCCAGGCTAGAGATGGGAGCAATGTACAGTGGCATGGACTCCTTTTAAATAAACAACAGCTGGAAGGACTAAGCTGTCATCAGAAAGTGTTAAAATCAACGAGTTTGCTGGAGCTTCAAAGTAGTAAATGGACTATTTCACTTATACTCTCCCAAATAAATACCTGCCAGCAACTTAAAATGTCATATAAGTAATATACAAAACCAGTCAAAACAGAATGAATTTATATTGTAATTTAAATGCACATAGTACAACCTTCCCCTCCTCAAATGGGTATTTCCCTCATACATTGTAGTATTCCCACAAAAAATTACCAATTATGTACATCTTTTATTTGCTTGAGAACTATGTACTTTATTCCGTTTTTGTCACTGATGACCCAAATTCAACTCTGAGAAGCTTTGAGTGTTAGTTACTGTGTCTAGATCACAATAATTCCTGTGAAAAATAAACCCTAAAAGCCCTTAGGCTACCAGCAGTTCTCTCCTCGGTCTTCTTAATTAAGTCAAAAGTAAAACTATTCAAAGTTTGAATACTCTATTCTTTAGTTGCCTTATCCCAAGTATTCAGAAAGAAAGCCCTCAGCACTTTCACACTGCACATGTTGACAGGCTATAGAGCTGTACATGCTAATTGTGTAACCAGCCCAGATGAATTGTTTGCTACAGGTTTGGAAGCAAAGAAAGATTTTCCTTTACAGCATATACATTTTCATGCACAAAATGAGATTATGCTAGATTTAGCAGGATTTGTCTCACTGGTTTTAGCCACTACAGTGTGTATGTTTATACATGAGCTAGTGGACACAGCCTGGCTCAACAGCTCAGCAACTCCACCAGGAACAAGGCAGTCCCTCCAGCCAAGGGGGGGGCCCTCCTGGCCTTGACACCCCCCACTTCCAGAGGGATGAGCTCTGAGCACCCCCTGTAGGCTGGCAAATTACATCTGGTCTAGCAATCTTTTAGATTATAAAAAGAAACTGCTGCTTAATTTTAGCAAGTAGTTTTACATGCAATGTAAACACATGTATCAATTAACGTACCCCTTCCTTCCATTGCCCCTACATCTCTGAAATCCCCTCTGTGGCCCCTACTGACACCTACTGCTCTTGAGGCTTCTTTATGTATCATGCTTTTTCCAAGTTACTTTCCTTCTGCAGTTGTCATTTGGGGTCAGACACCCAAAGGGACCAAGACAACCAAACTCTTGCAATGTCTAACTCAGTGCACAGAGGAGCTGTGCACCTACAGAGAGCTATGGCTATGCACCTGTAGGCAAGTATGGGCAGATAAATAAGGTAAAATAATACAGTGATAATCCATCCTTGAATCCACATCAGGCTCAAAACATGCATACAACAATTAGGACAGTAACTAACAACACAAACTAGCTTACCTTAAACTTCTTGACACTATATGCCAGAGAAAGTTGTAATTATAATACTGAAAACCACAAGGCTTTCCCAAGGAAATGCAGCCTGCACAATATAGAAAACAGTACAGTAGCCTCATCACAGTCCATAAGATCTATTCAGGAAGACGGAAGAAGGATGAGGAAAAAAAGACTACCCAACCCAAAAGACAAAGATATCAAGATAATCAGTCACTATAAAAGTAGATATATTCAGATCACAAAGACACACAGGCATTCATAGCAAAGGTAATTAATTAGTAGGATGGTTTTAAAGATTTCCTTTGCTGGGAATTAAGGAAGTCAGGATGCCGTCTGGTCCCTAAAATAAATCTGCGTATGCTATTATTAAAAAATTAATTGATTTACTACAATTCTATTTTTTATTCTACAGGAAGTCTCATTAGATGTTTGCAATAATGTCTCCTGAAAATTATATAGCTTGTCTTCGCAGTGAAATCCAGAAGCTTATCTCAGATACAAACTAAGACAAGAGAAAACACTGAAGACAGGTATATTTCTGAAATTATTTCTCCTATAGACCTTATAGACGAAACTTTCATGCATGTGTAGCTAGCACCCCTCCTGCGAATGTTTTTCAAAAGAAGGGATGTGTTATCAATGAATGCTTTACCATGAAACATGTCTGCAAGCCCAGCAACCAAGCCCCAGGATCCCACTCCCTGGGTGAGTGTCATCGCGGAATGAGGAGGGACTGCAGTGCAGTTCTCAGTCTCCCTTCTGCACAACTTCACAGTTTTAATGAAAAGGGTAGCAAGTGACCTGTTCATACGAGTCAAAATGAGCATGCTCATGGGAGGAGGGAAGACAGATTTCTCCTTCTCTTGGATTGAGGAAGGCATCCTGTGTCTCACTCATGTCTCATCGCTATGTCCCACCCACTGGATCAGTGCTCCCAGTGGAGGCTGTCACACTGAAGGTAAAGTATCTCGGGTGTTAAGAAAAGTGGTCAAACCACACTCTTCCTTGTCCTTCCAGTCCCCCCCTGGGCTGCAATTGCCAAACTGTCCCACTCCCAGATCATCCATGTGAAGTGATACCTTCCTGGAGAGCAATCTTTCTGGGAATGCTCAGAGCTGCAAAACAAGAAGCTGGGGCATGCCCGGCCACCAGTGGTGCTTCACTGCCTTCAGGGCAGCTCTGAAAAACAACCACCAGCCAAGCAGGACTTTTCAGGGCCATAACTCTGCTTTGATCAGGCAGAATTTAGGCTACCATATTCAAGGTTGTTCAATAAAGCAGCCCCTTCAATCAGCTCCTGCCCAACCCTGGAGACACCCCAGTGTCATCTCTGCATTGAAGTCAATGGTCCACACGAACGACCCACCAGTGGCACGAGGCTGGTGAGTGGTTGTCCTCCTCACCGAGCTGGGGCTGACTCCCAGTCTCCCTGCTGCAGCAGATGCAGAATTGCTGTCTCCAAAGCAGAGCTCTTCAGTGGGACTTGGCACTTATTGAGCTTGCAGCTGGGAAGGCCTGTTTCTGCCTACAGTTTGCTCAAATTCCTACTAATCTTTTTAAGTGGAAAAAAGCTGGGCTGGGGGGAGGCCTCGAAAGAAAACCCACAGTAATACAGAACAGTTTAAGGTTCATTAGAAGCACTGCATACAGTGAAGCTGGTATTATTTTGTCTTTAAATATTTAAAGACCAGCTAACTCTACAGAGCTTACAGTACTTCAACAATTCCTCAT